TAACATACTTCAAACGTCAATAACATACTTATTTCTTCATGTTGTTGATCAATTGAGGTTGAATCGACTTGGTCACAGATGCTGAAAGTATTTCTCTCTAGTCTCATAACTTTCTCTCTAGTCTCTACTTTCTAGTACTTATTTATGCTACTAGTACTTCATCTGTCAGGTGGCATTAATGATTTGTACGCTCAACTGTCTCCTTCATCATAGTGGGAGTTGCTTGGAGTCAGGAATTAGATTCCCCAGCCTCTGAAAGGATGTCACGTATACAAAGTAATCAGTAAACGTGTCTAGAATTAGATTGCATCGTCCAAATATTTTTTTTGTCAAATATTCTTACTGATTTGATTCCACAGATTAGAAAAGTGCCTTTATCTATATCCAACAGGATATTATTGTGAACATTAAGTATTGGAATAAGACACCACTTTACACACATGAAAATACGGAAAAAGGGAATATTTGTGTCTGTTTGGCTATTGCATATGTATCTGCAGACCTGCCTACATATTCCATGCAGCCTTTGTGTCTAAATCTACAATGAATTCATACATCTTGGATTTCCAAATAAATCATACCTTATGGATCACTATTGACCATCACAAAGTTGAACTAGATTTTACAGAAATAATTCCTACGGCGTCTTGAGATTGCCAAGGTCATGTCCATACCGTGTGTTCTTCGTGCATAATTACGTGCCGTTGTCCCACGTTTGTTTCTGGTTGCCCCTCGTGGCAGTCGGCCTTCCACTCTTCACAGTCTCCCTAAATGCGGGTCTAGTGATGTCACCCCGCCACTGTAGCTTCCCAACCTGCTGGCCTGGCTCCTGTCCTCCTCTCTGTGATGATCACTGGGCATCCACCCCATTTTATTCCCTGCCTTCCATCACGCAGAACTCTGTAGCCCCCCAACAAGCCGTTAAATCTCCGGGGCTTTTCCAAGATACCCTTTCTGTCCAAAATGCTGTTTTCTGCTGTAGCTATCTAGAAAAGTCAACTCATCCTTAAAGATTCACCACCGGCCATCAGTTTAGAGGCCTTTCCTGCCTTCCCCGGGTGGAGGATATCACAGCCTTCATGCGGGCGCACCGTGTGCTGGACCTGCTTCCCCTTGGACACGTAGCAGGTGGTTTTTGTAATATTTGTGTTCATCTGTGTCTCTCCTGTTCCTACCATAAAGTCTTTGAAGGTCGAATCCATGTCTCCGTATCCTTTTTATCTTCAGATCCAGACATACCATCTGGGATATAGCAGGTGCTCAATAAATATTTGTAGAAAAAATTCTCTTATTTAATCTTTGCAACCACATCTGTTTACAAATGAAGGTGCCGAAGTCTAACAAATACCGAGTAACTTGCGCAAGGTCACGCAGCTAGTGAATGGCAGATATTCTACTTGTGGTGTCGGACGCTGTCGTCCACTCCGCAGGAGCATGCCTGTTTCATCTCCCGGGGACACCAAGGAGCCCTTTGCATCCATATTCATCCTCCTGGAAAATCAGGTCCTGTGGCTGCTATGATAGGACCCTCCTCTGCCCCGAGGATTGTGTTCCCCGCTCTGGTTCTTCCTGGGAGGACCTCCCCGCCTGCTGGAACTGGCTCAGCCTTGGCTGTCACCTTCGTCCTGTCTGATGTACCTGACTTTCCTTGATCTCGATCCAGATTGTGCTTTGATATATATATATATATATATATATTATATATATATATATATATATATAAAATCTTTTCACTCTTCTCCGAAAATTCAAATGTATTTTGGAAACAGTCCAATACGAAACATCTATTCGCCATTATTTGACCTGTTGGAACGTAGACACATAGGCGACAACTCCAAGAAAGTCTGTAGTAGAGCGGAAGGGGCTGTTCTTACTATTAACGTGGAACTTACTCGAACAAATTTAAGTCCCACATTTTATCTTATTGTGCTGCTTTTGGAAAGTGACAGGATAGCTTAAAGTGGTGGCCTTAAAATCTGAACTAGAATAAAAGCTAACTTTTTAGCTCAATTTGCTATTCCTTACCCAGGGAGAGACACACAGACCCACACGCAGCTTTAAAGTTCCTTCAAGGGCCAGAACAAATTCTACTTCTCCCGTTAAACTTTGCATAAATAATTCCGTTTTACAGTATTTTTCCCCCTCAGATTTCCTTTGGCATTTCTAGCGCGTAAGAGAAAAACCATTATTTTGTTCACTGCATCCAACCATTTTGTTTGATCTCTTATCTTGCATCAGAGCCAGGATTTCTTTAACTTTATTTTGAAACTTTCAGGGTCTCAGGTTGACAGTAGGCAATTAATCAATACTTTGTAATTGTTGCTGTTAATATTATCATGGAGGACGAAGGGGGAAGGCCCCAGCAGGTGACTGTCAAGGTAAGATCATCTTTTTATTTTATAGTGACACAGGTTTTTTATAAAATATTAGCACCTTTCCTCCTGGAAACTCTTTGTAGTTTTGTGCAATTGGGTTTGCCTCTGGCTAGAATTTTCTTTTTTCTTCCTTAATTTAAAGTGTTCTCTCTTCTGAGTTTTGTGAGTGTTCTTTGGCCAGGCTTTGCTTTCTTCTTCTTTTTCTTTTTTTCTCCTCTCTTTTAATCTTTTAATGCTTTTTTCCCCCCCTCAATTACACAATGTCATTCTCTCCAACCGTTTAGAAAGGAGTCTTTTGCTAATGACTCAACATTACTAAATTTAACCACTTTCTTGAAATTCTACTAATGAGGCAAAGGTTTGTTTTTGTTTTCCTAACACACCATATATAACTTATATTTCCTTAAACAAGAGAGTTTCATTTTAGAAATTTTTTACCTTAAGTTTCACATTTAGAATTACTTAGCCATTTACTTTATATCATGTAAAAAATCACACGACTAGCAAACCAACATATGTGCACTAAAAGTTCCTATTGATTGGTATACATTTATTGGTGCTAAATATTAAAAATTAGGATTCATAAAAACAGCGTTTAAAACTCATTTTACACTGTGTTTTCAACCAGAGATTTGAGTTATGTAATGGAGCAGGCAGTCACTATTTAAAGAGTTGAATATTCTATTTTGTTCAGAATGAAAACCACATCTTCAACTGGTATTTCTTATCAATAAAAGTGTTCATTGGTCAAGTTGAAGTGTGATGATGCATTCCATGTTCCCACCTATTAATTTCAGTATCAAATGGTTTTAATGTGCATTTTTAAGTTGAATGAGTAACAAGATTGCTTGCCTGCTTAATAGTAACATCAACATTTTTTAAATTTTATTTTGGAAATACACAATTTTCTCTCACTCTCTCAATCTAGGCCATCTGTCTGTCTTTTTATTCTTAAAATTTTGAGTCACAAGATGCAACTTCACTCTCCTTGATTTGTCTTGAATTGAGAACTTAACTTGAGAAGAAATACACTATTAATTTATGTGATATTTGTCAAGTCATTGTAAGTTTGAGCTTCTTACCATGGAGCAGACCTCTGAGACCAGTCCGGTCCCAGTTCAGGGTGATGGAGTACAGGCCGTGGTGTGAAACTCGCACTCTTGCGTCCAAAAAAGGACTGAAGAGATTAGATCTATAGTCCACAAGAACATAAGAGTTTGCTCTTAGAAATAAACCTAATAGCATATAGTTGGCTGGAGAACTAATTAAATTATTGATTATACATACTAAATCATGGGACAAATGATGAAGTAAGACGCTTCTCGAAAGCCAGGTTTAAAGAACGCACATATACGCCTAGTTAACTATCCCTTTTTTAGCATATTTATTCTCCATGTCCATTTTTGTACAAATACAGGATTGGTGTACTCTCAGCTTGAAATTACAACTCACTCAGAAATAACATGCTGTTTATCTGCTGGCACAAAACTAGGAGTCTCCGGGAGTGAGTTCAGAATTAGCTATAGCAATTTAAGAGTTGCAGTCTTTAATCTCTGTAATGATGCTCCGCAGGTCCCAACTACCTAGGGGCTACTTAGCCCTGTTATCTCTTGCAACTTCTTTATTCTCGCCCTCCTCCCCCAGTGAAGGCAGGAGGCCAGGAGGACTAATAGCTGCCAGCATTTTTGTTACCAAAACCCAAGCTGTTTCTTTAAAGCAGGCTTCTTAAAATGACAAAGAAGTGCTTTTTTCTTTACAGTTCATTTCTGACATAACAAACCAGCTTTTATCAGAGCAAATACAAAGATCTAAACATCACACAGAATAGAAGTTTTAGGATTTTGTTTGTTTGCGCAACCTGATGCTAATGGGTTAGTAACACCTGTTGATCTCCCCCTTATGTTCATTATCCTGAATTCACATATATATCCCCAGATATTATAGCTTTATCACTTTGCCTTTTGCTATTTGTGTGGTCTCCTGAAATTCTTTCAGAAAATAAATGATATGTGGTGTGTATATATATATATACATATATATATACGTATATATATATATATATACGTATATATATATATATATATATATCTTAGAGAGAAAATGACGTGGGGGGAAGGGGAGGAAAAGTGGATGGATCAGTGAGAGAGAATGAGCTGTTCCAATGGTACTACAAATAAATGGTATAAATAGCAAAATGACACTGGAAGCTGGAAATGTAGTTATTATTCCTATATTGAGCTTAACTAAAAAAGGTGATTTGGGACTGGAATTGTAGGCTTGGTCCTGTAGTGCACACAAACAAGCTCGGTCTGTTTCATTTATGGCCCAGCATCTGAATCTGCTTTAACCACTGTTAGAGCACAGTCTAATGTTTTTAAATCTATTTAAGGCCCATTGTAGCCCATTGATTTTGTTTCATCTGTGCTCAAATCAACCACTCTCATTTTAGAGTAACTTAGAGGCTTTTTTTTTTTTTTTTTTTACTGGGTTCTCTTTGGAGTTCAGTCTCCCGACGTGGGCTGCCGAACATCACCAATCAAGGAACGTGCATTCTGTTCATGTTGTCAAACTCATTCTGCATAACCATGAACCACCTATGATATTGCCCCATCTGCTGTATTGCAGGAAAAACAGAGGTTTCTGACGGATGTCCTGCATGAAGTAATGCTGCTGGACGGCTTGGCCAGTTCCCATCCAGTATCACAGGAGGTGCTACAGGCAACAGATATTGACAGGGTGTTTGACTGGATCGCCTATAAAAAGGTGGGAATAGATAAGACCCAAGTGCCAATTGGATATTTCACTGTCCCTAGGCAGCCAAACTATTTCACGCGAGATGTATTCTTCTCTCCCTCCTGGCAGGTAGAAATGGACCGAGTCAGAAAACATAGACTTACTAGCTTCATGTCATTTTTATGAGTTAGGGCTTTGCTTTATAAATCAGTAAGCTGGAGATGAATGTTTGCCAAATAATGCATAGAAATGTTGGACGTATTAATGAATAGATGTTTGGAGCCTTGATATGAAATTGCTGTACAAATGGTGTTGTGTCGATGTCAGTTTTTATTATTATTAATGAGAGCTGACCTAAATGGTGATAAATTATGTGTCATCAGGCCCCTTCAATACTTAACTTATTTTGGTTGGCTGATGCAAATAGGTGTAGGCAGTGACATATGCATTTTATAAACATTTTTTAAGGGACATTTAGAGAATTAAACATCTTTCTTGGATAATAATCATGAAAAATGAAATTTTAAAGACTAGACTTTGACTGACAAAGATTTTGGACTGATGACTAGATGCAAAAATAAGACACACTCTGAACTTTTTCCCATTGTTATGTGGATTAAGATTCTTCCTCCTGTTTATATCCCTTAGTTGTTCTAATTTAACATAAGTATATACATCTCTTTGTTTAATATTCAATAGCTACTTGGGAATTATTAAAATAGTGCTAAAGTCTAGTTCATATTTGGTGTAGACTAAATTGCATTCATTGGGATTTCCATGTACTTTATTGATTTACAAATGTTTTAAGTTTTTTAAAACTGTTGCTAATATTTTTCTGGAAATATTCCTTTTTCAACTAGAGGTCAAATAATGATTCATCAGAATTCCTTGGTACCTCAATTTGAATATTTGGTTTTGTACTCAGCAAATGACTATCTCAATGGTTATTAGTTAATATTATGTGCTATAATATATGTAAAGGTACACATTGTGTTAAAAAATACCTTTCAAGTCACTGATCATTGCATTGGTTATAAAAGGGTTTTTGAGGACTTGGAAAAATAAGTGGAGGTATAGAACCATATTTAAAATATATGTTAATATATTTATGTAAAATATCAGCATTTAAAATATATATTAATTTTTATATATGAGATTCTTTTCCTATATGCTTTTTAAATTCTTTATTTAATGGAGTTAACCCATACTGTATTATTAGTTTCAGGGGCAGAATTTAGTGATTCATCCGTGGCATATAGCACCCAGTGCTCACTACATCGAATGCCCTACTTAGTGCCCATCACTCATTTATCCCATCCCCCCCCCAACAGCCTCTCCTCCAGCAACCCTCAATTTGTTTCTTAGAGTTCAGCATCTCTTATGGTTTGCCCCCCTCTCTATTTTCATCTTATTTTATTTTTCCTTCCCTTCCCCTATGCTCCTCTGTTTTGTTTCTTAAATTCTACATATGAGTAAAATCATATGGTATTTGTCTTTCTTTGACTGACTTATCTCACTTAGCATAATAACCTTTAGTTCCATCCCTATCATTGCAAATGGCAAGATTTCATTCTCTTTGATGGCTGAGTAATATTCCATTGTGTATAATTACCACATCTTCTTTATCCACTCATCTGTTGATGGACATCTGGGCTCTTTCCATAATTTAGCTATTGTGGACGTTGCTGCTATAAACACTGGGGTGCAGGTGCCCCATCAGATCACTGCGTTGTTTGTTTGTTTGTTTGTTTTTTTTCAGATCACTGTGTTTGTATCCTTTGGATAAATCCCCAGTAGTGCAATTGCTGGGTCATAGGGCAGCTCTGTTTTTCCCTTCTTGAGGACCCTCCACACTGTTCTCCAGCGCGGCTACACCAGCCTGCCTTCCCACCGACAGTGCAAGAGGGCTCCCCTTTCTCTGCATCCTCACCAACATCTGTGGTTTCCTGACTTGTTAATTTTATTTGGCTATTTTTAATTGGATGCACATTCAGTTTCTTCAACTGTATTGATTCCTAAAATGTAATGCAGAAAATATTATTCATCCCTTCTGCATGGCATATAGAGATAGGCTGGAAGTTAGAAAACTTGAAACCTATTATTAAGATACCTTGAGATGAGTTTGGAGACGCATTTTCCACCTTCCACCAATTCTCTAAAAGTAGTTATAAATACCGGTTTTACTTCAGCATGAACAGTTATCAAGAAAATATTATTTTGATTAAATACATGATAGATGTATTTAGATATAAATAACATCTATCCCAGATTCCATATATTTGAGCAATTTCAGATTTATTTGAGGAGGTTGAGAATCAAAACAATAGGAAAAAATGAAGATGCCGTGAGTATTTTTTTACCCTTTCCACATTTTATTGCAAAGTCTTGCCAGTTTACAAATGTGAGAAATGAGCCTACTACGCCACCCTGCTCAGGAGCACCATCATAAGGGACACTGGCTTTCTTGCCTCTAGCCATGTATCTTTTTTTTTAACTTGATTGAGCAATAATTAACAAATATAGTTGTAAATATTTAAAGTGTACAATGCTAGGATTTGATATAAATATATTAGACTGTGGAATGATTACCAATATCAAGATTATGAGCATATTCATCACCTCCCATAGTTGATTCTTTTGTATGTTTGCATACATGGTGAGAACGCCAAAGATCTACTCTCAGCTACTTTTGAGTGTAGAGTATCATGTTACCAACTATGGTTGCCATTTCGTACATTAGATCACGGAACTTATTATAAATAACTGAAAATTTGTACCCTTTGAATTACATCACCCCATTTCCTTCTTCCCCAAGCCCTTGTCAACTACCATTCTATTTTCTGTTCCTATGAAATTGGCCTTTTTTTGTTTGTTTGTTTGTTTTAAGATTTCACAAATAAGTGATACCTTATAGTATTTATCTTTCTCTCTCTGGTTTATTTTACTTAGCACAATGCCTCCAGGTTAACCCATGTGGTTGCAAATGGCAGGATTTCTCTCTTTTTTATGGCTGAATAATATCTGGACTCTATTCTTTCTGCTTCACTGGTACTTTGTAACCATTTTTGTTTTTGTTTTGCCAGTACCATACTATTTTGATCACTATAGCTTTGTAAGATAGCTTGAATCAGGAAGTGAGATGCCTTCAGCCCTGTTCTTCTTTCTAGGGATTGGTTTGGTTATTTGAGGTCTTAGAATGTGTTTTTTTTTTTTTTCTGTGAAAAATGCCATTGGAATTCTGATAGGGATTGTATTGAATCTGTAGATCGCTTTGGGTAGTATAGACATTTTCACAGTATTTATTCTTCCAATTCAAGATCATGGGATATCTTTCCATTTATTAGTTTTCTTCAGTATCTTTCATCAATGTCTTATTGTCCCAGTAAAGAAGTCTTTTCATCTCTTTCGTTAAATGTATTCCTAAGTTTTTTATTGCCTTTGATGCTACTGTAATGGTATTGCTTTTTAAATTTCTCTTTTAGATAGTTCATTGTTAGTGTGTAGAAACACAACTGATTTCTGTATTTTGAATTTGTATCTTGCAATTTTACTGAATTAATGTATTAGTTGCACTTTCGGTAGAGTCTTTAGGGTTTTCTGTATCAGACCATATCATCTACACAGAAAGATGATTTTACTTCCTTTCTGATTCAGATACTTTTTATTTCTTGTTCTTGCCCAGTTGCTATGGGTAGGATTTCCAGTACTGTGTTGAGTAGAAATGGTGAGAGTGAGCATCCTTGTCATTACTGATCTTAAAGGGAAGACTTTTAACCTATACCACACACACACATATATATAGACTATATGTCTATATATATAGACAAGCCATAGCTAACATCATACTATCTTTATGCTTTAAGTACCACTGAAAATATTGTCCTACCTGTGTATTTTCAAGTGATGAGAGATCTACTGGATTTTCAAAGAAGGCTTCATAAGAAAGAAATTTTAACAGCTATACTGAGGTATAATTAAAATACAACGAACTGTACATGTTTAAAAGGTACAATTTGATATGTTCTGACTTATGTATACACCCTGAAAACATCATCACAATCCAGTTAATGAGCATATTCATCAAATGTTTTCTCATGCGTCTCACTTTCACATCTCTCCTCTACTGATCAACTTTTTCACTATCGATTAAATTGCATTTCTAGAGTTTTATATAAATGAAATCATATGTATGTACTCTTTTTAGTCTACTCTCTTTCACTCGACATAATGATTCTGAGATACATTCATGTTTTAGCATATATGGATATAATACAATTTCTACCTTCTCCTGGGTATTTGGGTTGTTTCTAGTTTTTGACTGTTACAAATAAAGCTGCTATGAACATATGTGTGCAGGTCTTTATATGTATATTTGCTTTTCTTTCTCTTGGGTAAATACTTAGAAGTGGAATGTCCAGATTATATGATAGGCATGTTCACTGGTTTAAGGCAGCTGATTCGTTTTCCAGTGTAGTTGTACCTTTGTACCGTGGTATATTCCCACTGAGCATGTATCCGTGTTCTACTTTCTCCACATCTTTTCCAACACAAACATGGCATAATCAGTTATTTTAATTTTTGATACACTTTTTAAAAGATTTTGTTTATTTATTTGAGAAAGAGAGCATGAGTGGGGAAGGAGGGTGAGGGGAGGAAGAGGAAGGAAGAAGAAGCAGTCTTCTTGCTGAGCAGGGGCTCGATCTCACAACCCTGTGATCATGGCCTGAACCAAAATCAAGAGTTGGATGCTTAATATACTGAGCCACCCAGTCACCCTTCTTGTTAGGATTTTTGAGGATCCTTCATATACTCTGAATACAGGTTCTTTATCAGATATATGATATGCAAATAATGTTTTTCCCTATCTGTGACCTGTCCCTTATTTTCATAATAGTGAATTATTTCATAATTTAGATATTTTTCATCTATGTTCATGAAGGTTATCAGTCTGGAGTTTTGTTTTCTTGTAACATCTTTTTTTGTTTTTGTTATCACTATAATGATAGCTTCATAGAGACTATTGCCTTCTT